TAAAAAGTTATCTGCCTTACCCTGAAACAAAGGGAGACTGCTACCAGCCCTGAATGAACTATCAGTACGTTAAAAAGCGACACAGTTTCAGTTATTGTGCCAATGTACTACTTATAGGGTTGGGGAACCCTGCAGTGAGATGAGACTGAAGAAGTCATTCAGATGAGTGACCAAATGTTTGTCCCACTGAAAACGCTACGTCCAGATGAACAGAATCAACTTTTGGGGGTATAAAAGACAGACTTTAACTTTATGAGAGATAAATATGACACACAGGGCGTGTGTGTGTGTGTGTGTGTGTGTGTGTGTCTTACTGACCAGGATCTGAGAAAACAGCTTTAGAGTGGCAGGCTAGCAGCAGCAGCAGAATCAGGTTGAACACTGACCCGTGGAGAGTACACCACACACTGTCAGAGACAGAAGAGACATGCGATTATTACACTTCATCATTTAATCTTCTTAATAGAATTCAATTCAATTTTATTTAGATAACGCCAAATACCAACAGCAGTCACCTCTGGGTGCTTATGTTTAAGGTAAAGACCCTACAGCAGTACAATGACAGAAGTAAAGCAAGTTATTAGAGCTTTAGGGAGTCCACGGTACATTTCAATTCAATTCAATAAAACTTTATTGAATTGAAGGATGACCCCGAGGGAAATTGGGTAAATATCCTGTAAATGTTCATGATCACAAAAGACAAAGAAAAGCCGATTTATTTATTTATTTTTGCATTAAACTACAACTTAACTGAGCATAAGTTTCTCTGAAGGGGCTGGATGACTGCTCTGTAACTTTGACAACTTTACAATTTTAATAAAATACGTTTTACTCCTTTGCTTTCTAAATAGTCCTGGTTACATCCAATATCATACAAAACTGCACAGAATAAGCAAAAAGCACTACATTTGACTGAAAATAAGAGTACATACAAACATTTTGTGACGCTAACATTTAAAATATTTGGGTGGAAATTGAGGAAGTGCGCGCTTCTCAGCTCAGGAAAGTCTGAATTTGGCATGAAGACTTGGTTAACGCAGTTTTGAATTTAGGACGAATTAAAGAGCAACTCACGTTGATTTAGATGAAGCTGCGATTCTGGTTTTAAAGAGGATCTTTGTTCTCAGACACGCAGAGCAACTTTAAATCACCCAAAATTTTGAACGACAGCTGGACTCGTCGGCTCCGGAGTAGGCTAATGAAACGCCTCAGCTACGAAAACAAACCGAAAGCCACCTGTGATGGAGCGCGAGCCCGGTTACAAAACCAAAGACGTGAATGGGAACGCGATTAAAGCCACATTACAGTGAGAACAAACGAGATTTGATTCAGTTTCACTGCGCCGAGGGTGAAATCGTGAAGATACCGTTACTGTTGATCTGTTTGCTGTCAAATGAATGAAGGCACAGCAAAGAGGCGGACGACATATTGAGGGATTTTAAGGGGTTTAAAAAGGCGTGGAAATGCAAAACACCCACCTGTCCGAGTACGCGGGGATGAGCACGTACTGTATGACCACATAGTCCGCATAAAACACGCTGAAATAAGTTAAAATCAGGCAGATAACGCCGCAGGGATCTCGCCTACAGCGAAGAACCGCCATCTTCTCCCGGGCTCCACCCCCGTCCCCCGCTTCCGGGTGACGTCAGATGGAAACTTGAAGCTGCCTTCCAGGACCGTCGAGAAAAGGCGATTCATGTTTAAAGGGCCAGTTCATCTTTTTTTTCTTCAAAAGAGATTAAAGAATATTTGACTCAACAAATAAATCTTCACCTCTGATCTGCCGTGTTTCTTTTTTATTGATACCCTTAAGCAGATTTGTTTTTCAGATCACAGAGCTGCCAGTCAATCTAGTAGACGGGGAGTAAGCTGTGGTCACCATGGAATGGACGTGGTGAACAGTAATACTATGGTAGGCTGTGGTACTCAGCTGGTATAGTGGGGTTCAAAGACTGGATACATGTTTTCATCTTGTTTATGTCAAACTGTGACCATACCATTGGAATGTTTCAGCAGACACTGACATGCAAAAACACCAGACAATATTTGTCCAACCTTCTATGGTCCAGTTTTGATGAGCTCATGTAAATTGTAGCCTCAAGTTCCTTTTCTTTGCTGAAAGGAGCAGCATAAAAGACCGGTGAGGTCTTCTGCTGCTGCCAGGTTTGAAGTCAGCCAGAGACGCTCTTCTGATTTGACTTGAACTTCAGTGGGATCGATCGCGTTGAGCACAGTTGCCCAATTCTGTCGGGTTGCTCCCATGTGATTGGCTGAATAGATTTTGTCTTTAGCAATCAGTTACAATCTTAGAAACATTGTCTCTAACTAGACACTTAATCTGGATGGCATTACCTTGGCCTCCAGTAACACAGTAAGGAATTTTTAAGCATGCTAAACCAATATATTTCTTCTATTTCAATATAATGCTTTCTTGCATTTGGACAGTTTCTCTAAAATTAGAAACATCCTGTCTTTAGCTGTGTCCAAGTTCATAGGCTGCATCCTCCTGAGGACCTGGCCTTCACAGTCTATGTGGACCAGGTCCTTCGAAGGCTGGAAGTGAGTGGCTGTGAAATTGGACCGTCTAGTCTTCAGATTTGCATCACCGGCTGTTTCAGTGGAGTTTAATAAACTCAGCCGTCTGCTCCTTGCTATCTAAAATATAACAGGATATTGGTGTAACTTCTCAATCATGTCACACTGCTGTTTAATCAGTTTTCCGTTTGACATTTATTTAGCTATAATCTCAGCCAAACCAATTTACTCACAAACAAATAAAACACGTGGCAGCACGGTGGCACGGTGTTTAGCACTGTTGCCGCACAGCAAGAAGGTCCTGAGTTCAATTCCACCATCAGGCCAGCAGGGTCTTTCTGTGTGGAGTTTGCATGTTCTCCCCGTGTCTGCGTGGGTTCCCTCCGGGTACTCTGGCTTCCTCCCACTGTCCAAAGACATGCAGTTTGTGGGGATAGGTTAATTGGATAATCCAAATTGCCACTAGGTGTGAATCTGTGAGTGAATGTGAGTATGAATGGTTGTCTGTCCTTGTGTGTTAGCCCTGCGACAGACTGGCGATCTGTCCAGGGTGTACCCCGCCTCTCGCCCTATGACAGCTGGCTCCAGCACCCCCCGCGACCCTGAAAAGGATAAGCGGTAGCGAATGGATGGACAAATAAAACTTTGAAAAAGCCAAACAATAAAATTTTTAGGTTATCTAAGTGAATATATTATATTATATTATGTTTAACCTGAGTAGCGAAAGACCGCGGGGGACTGAAAACAATGTGCCAGGAGTTTGATGTTCTTGCCGGCTCTAGTGAGCCTTGATCCCCCGGCTAGCTATCAAGCTGGTGGGTAACAGACGTCTCCGAAAAAAGTTAGAGCACTTTTGCAAATATTGATGTCTTAATAAATCGAGCAGATATTTGAAGTTTACACACCTACATTCTCGCCTGAAAATATGTTAAAAGTTTATTTTGTGACCCAGAAAGAGGAATAAGAGTAATATTAAAACTAAGTGGTTTCTGCCATTGTTGGAAAGTGGAATTGGCTGGGCTGCGCTATGAATTCTGGGATATGGTGGGCCATGAAGGATACACCCGACCCATCCTTCAAATCTGGGGAAAAGGAGGATGCGTTTGTCTGCTGCATTTGGAGGAGTCTACGAATTGGGACAGCCGTCGACGCGTTGCTGTGACGTAATCGACCTACAAATGCAGCTTCAGGAGGATGCAGGCTATGAATTTAGACGCCCACTTAGAATGATGCTGAAAATCTAGTTCATGCATTTATCACTTCTAGGCTGTACTACTACAATTCAGTATTATCAGGTTGTCCTAAAAACTAAAATGCTGCAGCAAGAGTACTGACAGGGACTAGAAAAGAGAGAGCATATTTCTCCCATACTGGCTTCCCATTGTTGGCTTCCTGTTAAATCCAGAATTGAATTCAAAATCCTGCTCCTCACATACAAGGTCTGAATAATCAGGCCCCATCTTATCCTAATCCATATCACCCCATTAGAACACTGAACTCTCAGCCTGCAACCTTACTTGTTGTTCCTAGAGTATTTAAAAATAGAATGGAAGAGAGAGCCTTCAGTTTTCAGGCCCCTTTACTGTGGAACCAGCTTCCAGTTTGGATTCAGGAGACAGACACTATCTCTACTTTTAAGATTAGGCTTCAAACTTTCCAAGCCTGGCCAGCTCAGTTGGAAGAGCATGAGCCTCTTAATCTCAGAGTTGTCGATTGGAGCCCCATGTTGGGCACTCCTGTTGCATATTTGTCCTTAGGGATTATTACATTATTTTAATAAATACTACATAGTTTTATATAGTATAAAAGGATTTTAATAACCCATATAGTTAGGGTTGGATCAGGTGATCCTGAATCCTCCCTTAGTTACTCTGCATTAGATCTAGGTTACTGTGAGATTCCCACGATGCACAGTTTCTTCTTCAGTCGCCTTTTTTCACACACTGTGTATTTAAATATTAGTTGTTATTAATCTCTAGCTCTCTTCCACACTATGCCTTTGTCCTGTCTTCCTTCCCTTAACCCTTAACCAGCTGTGTCAGATGGCCACCCCTCCCTGAGTCTGGCTCTGGTGGAGGTTTCTTCCTGTTCAAAGTTTTTCATTCCCACTGTTTCCAAGCATCTGCACATAGTGGGTCATCTGATAGTTGGAACTTCTTCTTAAACCCTTCAGTATAAAGCCCTCGAGGTGCCTCCTGTTATAAATTGGTGCTATATAAATAAAATTGAATTGACCTGAACCGATGTATCTAATGAAGTGGCCGGTAAGTGTAGGCAGCTGTTGATTCGAAGCAGTTTTGGACTTGCACCTGAAGGCAGCATGAACCACAGATAGGAACAGTTATGAACAGCAGGTGGCAGTAGAAGTGTGTGCGAAGCTGACATTCCCACACCGTCGCTCCTCCCTTGAAGGAGGCAGAAAGCTGCGCGTCATCCTCTCCGTGCACTTCTTCTTCTGTGCTCACTTTGTCACTGTGTGTTTGTAGTTTGTTCACTTCAGCCGCCTGCAAGTTAAACCGCCGTTCCTCTCGGATACAGTTCCTCCACTTCGAAGTCAAACCTCTTTACTTATTTTTCTTTCGAGAAGTTTATTTCCTTGTGAAGAAGCTCGACGAGGATTAAAAATATATATATAGTAGAAGGCAGTAGTCAAAGAAGGAGGAGAATAAAAAGTGACAAACCTGGAGGAGGAACAGGGCGTTCATACTTCGAAGTAACCATGGAAGTTCCTGGTATGCAGGTAAGGAGAAAGGTGGACGTGCTGCTGCTGCTCTTCTCTGGGTTTTCAATCGTCCTCATGAGAAAACTGAAGCGGGTCTTTATGAGAAGTGGAGGGGAGATTGTGCAACTGCTGCTGCATGTTTCTTTCTTTTGTAAGAGTGATTACCTGTTGTGTATATGAGCCATAGGAACATACTAACATACAGCGCTGTGTATTCAAATAAACAGACGTAGGTCTCCACATCCAGTTAAAAAAACATCAGGGAAAAGTGACTCGTCAGATCTTCTCTAGCTGTGGAAAATGAGTTTATGGTCAAAATCTCACATGGTGTCTAATTGTGTATTTATACCTGTTTATTCGACCTTTGATGTGCATGTGCTGACTCATAAAGTGATGTAGCTTCCCCAGATTGTGGCTCTGCGCTGTGAAATGAAGCTACACTTGTGTAAAATGTAGCTTTGGTTCCTTAAATTGAGCTGGCTTTTATTTTATGGTGTCTAAATCCCTTAAGTTTTGGCATTATATTTACATAGTTGCTCAATACCTTGCTCTATCAACCTTTGTGTGTTTACATATGTAATAAGTGTAATTCCAATACCTCTATACCAGCTTATATCATAACTTTGGTGCTCAAAGTTTAGTTTACAGGGCCTTTTCTCTTGATGTGACCTATAGTGTGGATTTAATGACCCATAAAGTTATTTAGCTTATTGAAATTGTGAGGTTGTGGTATTTTATATCGTTTAAAGTGTACTCATAATGGAACTCTGGGGCCATAAATTGAGTTTCCTTTTTATTTTGTGCTTTTTAAATCACTTTAAAGTTGGGTGTTTTACTCAAATAATTGCTTAATAATGTGACTTAACTTCTCCAAGTCGACTTGATAATAACCTTGCGTTATTATCATCTATAATAAGTATAACTATAATCTATACTAGCTTATATTGTGACTTTGGTGCTCAAAGTTTAGTCTAAATTTTGAATTGAAGTTTTTGTTGCATCAAGTGCGCCTAGTTCTAATGTTTAAATCTTTTAAATGAAACTGTAATCTTCATAGAAAGGTTTATAAGGTGGCTCGGCTTCTACAAAATAAGCTTACAGTAACTTTTTAGGGTGTTTTTGTGTCTTCAGTGGCAACTGTGATACTTGCATACACATAGTTCACAGTGCCCTTACCTCTTAATGCGACCTATAATGTGTGTATGATGATTTATAAGGTGACTTTTAGCTTTCTGAACTAGTGAATTTGTAGTGTTTATACAATTTAAGGTGTACCCATGATGTCTCTCCGGTTCCCTAAAACGAGTTTTATTTCATGGTGTTCACATTTTTTAAAGTGAACTAATATTTATCGATATTACCTCATTATTGAGTTTACTGTATGTTTAAGGTGGTTACAGCTGTAAAAGTGTGAAAATAGTGTTTCTGTAGTGGCTTATGTGTTGGCTTTGTTGCTTCATATGTACTTTACAGTGTCGTGTAATGTGTCACGATGGCTTGTGTTGTGACTTTGTTTTACCAACCCAAGGTGAAGTGTGACTGTGGTTTACGTACCGTCGGATATATACATGCGATGAATTACAGTGTGACTCTGCTGCTGTATAAACGAGTTTATTTAACTCTCTTGTGTATTTAGGATTTAAGACTTCTAAATAATCCAGATTTACCGTGACTTAATGTGCTGCTTGTAATCCAGGCACACTTTATGATGACACAATGTTTCTGCCTCTTATCACATCCATATATTTAGTTATTATCAGCTGATATCGCAGACTCACATTATATTGACCTTAATTCTCCTGAACCTGATGTATTTTCTGATTGTATCACTTTTGTGTTCATGTAATGTTTCCATAGTGACACATTTTATAGTCCTCTGTCTTTATCTCCTTAATGATGTGAGCTATGCGTAACTCAAAAGGTGTGTCTAGCCTTCATGATTTCCCGTAACACTCCATGTGTTAATGGCCCATTCTGTATCTGTTGCTCAGGAGCATTGATTGATATCTTTTATAGGACATCCACTGCCTTTAGTCTAGTTGATTAAAATCTACTGTGGGATCATCCTTCCCTTGGAAGTCATATTAGAGGAAAATCTTCAGGTATGCCAGACTTGTGCCAGTAAGAAACAAAAGGTGTCTAACGTGCACTAAAAGTGTGTAAACGCCTCCAACCTGTTGCTCAGCCGGCTTTCAGGTGTGTCTACCTGTGGGACTGGCTCGCCGTGTCTGCTCTGTGCGTCCCAAGTGGGCGGGGCCACAAATGGTGTCACAGGCTGCTTACATCAACACACCCAACGCCTGGCACCAGCTGCCACAGCATCGAGACAGACAGCAAGGTTTGCTGCCAGTAAGAGCAATGATGCATAGTGGAAAGTGCTGTGCAAGACTGGAGCTACCTGATCAGTCGATTAGGTGATAGGATATTTATCACTTGTTGGGTAGTTATTCTTTTAAGCATAAATATCAGTTATGGTGGCTTTCAGATCGCTTTAAAAAAAAAAAAAAACCAATATGTATATATTTGCTTATGTGGCTGGGAATTATGTATTGTTGGCCTAAATGTATAAGTAACTTTGCCACTTTGATCTCTGGTAGCTTAAAGGTGATATAAATAATTTTTTATGTTAAGGAAGAATTGAATCGCTAAGTGCGTTAAAAGGGTGCTTATATTATAACCACTTGGAAATAATACCAGAATTTGTAGTGAAGATGAAGGTACCTAGCATCACTATAATGCTAACCAACTGACCATTGGCATCCAGCGTACAACTAGACATGCAGTGCAAGCTGCTGTGGCGAGCCCTTGTGACAAGATTGGTTAGCAAGCTAAATTTATAGTGTATGAAAGTATCAGGTGATAAGCGTTTTTGCTAATTTCATGCTAACTAAAAGAAATGATAAAAACTTTACTAAAAATGATGATAATAACAAAATGAATGGGCTAGTGGTCTAATAAACTGCAAATCCAGTAATTGTATTTAGCAGAAAATGGATTAAAGGTGTTAAAGTGTTAAAGTCATGAATAGAGTCAAAAGGTCCAGTACAGTGACTTGAATTAGCCAAATGGGCAAAGTTACCTAAGCTAAAGGGCTTGATATTTTTTTCCCCCGCTAAAGCAAAACAAACTTGGAAGAGGAAACAACATATCTGTTTCGCATAATGTCTAAAACTTGTTTTGACTGCCCCTAGGTAGCCAAAAATTTCTTTTAAATCAAGTTTAAGACGCATGGTTGCCATTATTGCAACATTTGTTGTTATTAGACAGCTCAAAAAATAATCCAAAATTTGTGCTGGAGTGTCTCATTTTGTAAGAATTATCCTGTAACAGGTGGGGGGGTATTTAGCTTAAATGAATGAGTTTACAAAAGCGGTACAGTAGCATAATGGATGATTTGTGGCTCAGGATATCAGTTTCACACATACTTTGAACCTCTAGTTCCTCTAGTCCTTCCTTTCTGCTATCAGTGGAAGCTGCTGAGAGATCCCAGCTCCATGGAAAATGTTGTGTAAAGCCTGAACGATATCACTCGGCTGACTCTTACGTTGGTTTCTGGCTTGTGACCATGATTCAGAGCCTCTTTTGAAAGAAATCTTACATAATCCAGAAAAATAAGCTTGATATCATTTCAAACAGTGCTATCATTATAATTACACAAGTGCCCCCAGCTGACTCCTTTGTTTATGTCTTTGACAGTCTGTTACGAATAATAAGTTCACTGTCTGACTGTGATATTTGCTGCCTTGGGCATCACATCGTTGTGTCAGCTCTTTCATGGGTTTCCACACTATGTTAAAATGGAAATGACTCTCTTAACAAATGCCCTCAAAAATACATGTTTGTTATATTGAAACGCTTTCTTCTTCTTTTTTAACCGTGCAGACATGGCAAAACGTAAGATTTCCATTTTACCAACATGGGGGGAAAAAAAGGAAAGCACAAGGTATTCACATCTGAGATCACTGAACTTATAAAGTGATCGACAAACTTCTTCTCTAATATCAATAGTCCTACATTACGCAAGGTTAGGCGAGGCCTAATCTTCATTGATCATAAAATCTCATTAGCGGGATTGAACGCTTAATTAGTGGAAAATTTTGCAATGTTGGGATATAAAAATTGTGTTTATTTTTCCACAGAATCCTAACACCGTGGGCGAAATTCCATCTTTGGTGAAATGTACAAATTTCCACTGATGCCTAAAATCAAATCTAGTGGCGCCACGAAACACAGCTACTAATGTATGATGTCACACTTGCAAATCAGAAGCATCTTGACAGTATGGTTTGAGTTGTTGATTGTCACAGAAGAAAAATCCAATGACTCAGCTGGCACTGTGATTGATTGCGTGCTGGCAGGTATGCAGGAACATGTTTTTATGATGTTTGTTCTTTCAGTAATGGGCTTTCAGTTTTAGTGCCCCATGGCGGTTTAAGGAGGTCATTCCCTGTCAAACAGTACAAACTTGAGGCAAATTCCACAACTTAAAGGTATTTCCCCAAGAGTTTGATTCTGGACATTTGCCTACCTTCCTCCTCGGGCTCCTGCCTCATGCTACACTAATAAATTTTGTTGATCTAATATGAATTTATGTTTAATTCGCAGAATATTATTAGAACTGTCACTCTGTTGGGCTTTGAACTAAATATGACAGTTTAGTTGAATCACATATTTTGTCAATCCAGGGAATCACCCTCAAAGCCAAATATACTTAGGATTTCCAGCCAGCCTTCATTTGGCCAAGAAATGGCAACCAGAGATGTACCAGTCCTACTTTCTACAGTTCTGATCTGATAATGATCAATGACTTTGGGTATCAGCTGAAATCCAGTAGTAATCTGATAGTAGTGTCACATTAATGAGCTGTGATTATGTTTTTTATAAAAAAAGAACCGGGAATCGTTCTTTTGTGTAAGACAATGAATTGAACACTGGTTTCGTAACTTCGTAACTACAAAACAATTATCTCTACAAATATAAACTGTACTGGTAATGGGTTTTTCTTTTGTTTTTTCTAA